GATCCCTTTGTGCATTCTTTCGTCACTGGGATGTTTCTTGTGTTTCCCCTCACCCCCAACCGGCCGAGGCAGATGGCCGCCCACCCTGAGCCATGGTTCTCCTCGAGGTTTCTGCCTGTTAAAAGGAAGTTTTTCCTTGCCTGTGTCGCCTAGTGCTTGCTCATGGTGGGAATTGTTGGGTTTCTGTAGTTAACTTCAGAGTAGGGTGTGACCTGCTCTGTTTGGAAAGCGCTGTGAGACAACTGTCGTTGTGATGTGGCGCTATATAAATAAAATTGAATTGAATTGCTTCTATTCCTCCCACCAAACTGATGCTACAAGTGTTTTAAGGCAGCTTTGAAAATCTTGCCTCATACAGAAAAAAGGATGCTTTAATTTGTGAATAAATGAAAACATCTGCCAGTTCCAATCTGAACATTTCTCATTAGCTGCACCTATCTGGTGGTTGGTAAACTGTACGCGGGATCAAACCCTATTCGTGCGTACGGCTAATTCAATAGCGGGCGCAGTCGGACTCCTGACAGCAGCCCTTTTTCCTCTCCTGTTCTCCTCATATAACTAACACCCCTGGCCCGCCAGGTGCGGCAGACAGCTTGCCAGGAGTTGTCGGCAGCTCTCCGAGTTTGCCAAAAATCTAGTTTAGATTAGACCAGGCCGGGCCTCCCTGGTCGGCTCACACAAAGCGCCGTGTTCTTATTAGATATAATCACGACAATTTGCTCAGGCCGGGCAAAGCCTCCGAACAAGAAAGAGAGGAAGATGGAGAGAGAAAGAGGGGTCAGAGAAGAGGAGAAATGGGGGTGGAACAGAGTGAGGGTGGATTAAAAAGCATTGAGAGTCAAATCTGGAGGGAGCAGGAGGGCAAATGTTAGGACGCGGACTCAATCTACCTTAAGAGCCTTAACGTGAGTGTGTGAGAGTGTGTGAGAGGATGCCGGCACGCGCGTGTGTGTGTGTGTGTGTGTTCCAGAGAGGGATCACCTGCATGTTGAAGACTTCATCCGAGCTCTCCGACTGGCCGGTGATGTTGCTCACTTCGTTGGAGGCTTGAGAGGACAAAGAGGACGAGGAGTACCGGTTCACTGCAGGGTAGCTGTGGGAACTTAGGGTGCCGAGGAAAGAGATAGAGAGAGAGAGAGAGAGAGGGTTAGGGTGTCGTCTGACGAGGGTGATTTAGTCATTTTTGCTAAAAAAGATGTCCACTTACCCAGAAGTTAGCGGGAGCAGTCCATAGCCAGAGAAAAGAGACAAACAGAGGAAAGATGCGTCAGGTTAGAGGAATTGTAGCCAATCGCAGCTTTCCATGAGGGCAGAAGTTCGAAAAAAACACAGACATCTCCTACACTTTGGGCTTTATGAATTATAGAGCGAAAGAAAAAAATATCAAAACGGCGGGCGAAATCGTGAAATGTCGCCGAGACACTGAAGAGAAAGTGCGTGCCTCCGACTTTCCGTGCCCCGTGGGATCAGACTGTGGAAGCAGAATGTCGCAGGTAGATGGGGTGGACGGGTCAGTGAACACATCAAAACACACACACGCACACACACACACACACACACACACACACACACACACACACACACACGCGCGTAGCCTACAGGCTGGCACGACAGCAGGAACATCCGCCACCTATTACAGGCCGACGCTGAGCCCCATGGATGACGGGCTATAGCTGGGGGTGGGGGGGGGGGGGCACAGCCGGCGTTGTGTGGGGGGGGTTTAAAAAAATAAAAAAAAAAGGAGAGGATGGGTCAAACAGACACACAGGTCAGCCTGAGAGCAGCCTACCAAAACAAAGAAAGTGTTAGAATGTGGCTAGAATTACTCACTTTAGCTTTGTATGCTATCACATGATCTAGGTAAATGACTGATTGATTTATTTCCCTATAGAACTATATTTTGTGTGCCCACAGACTCTACTTTTCTCTCTTTTTCTTTCTCTGTTGCAATAAATCCACACCTTTAAGTCAACACAAACACACACCATTTGTTACCACGTTCCAATGTTATCTACATGAATTAGGACCTGGCCTGTTCATGACCCGAAGTAACTGGCCAATAGGACTTGGTTGGGCTTTTTGCCGACTGATACCCAGAGAGAGGTTATTTTCTGTTAGAGCCCAGCTGATTTACTTAACTGTGTCCAAAAATATATTATTATTATATTATATTATTTTTGTACTTTTGGTCTACTCTGGTATATTCTCAGGTTTCCAACTAAAGAATCGGGTTAACAAAAGGGACGATATGGCGAAGGGAGGGAAAAATCTCGTGCCTCCCGAAGAGTTAAGACCAACTTTTTTCTTTTTTCTTAGGGGGGGTGATTTATAAACCTTCAAGGTGATAAATACAGAAGTCTTGACATTTCATTAAAGCCGGAGAAAGACAAAGACGGATGTGTGAATAATGGAGAGAGGGGAGTGGAAGAGGAGGCGCGGGATTGGTGGGGAGCTGCGGTCACCTGCGCCTGGCCAGGCTTCGCCCGCCGTCCGGGCTGATGATGCTGGGCACCGAGTTCCTGCAGGTCCGGGGGCTCCCGTTGGTGAAGTGCACGGGGCTCGCTCGCACGTAGGCCGGGAACTCCTGGGGTTTCAAATCGGCGGAAAGTGGGAGAGCGCACATGATTAAAAGCTTCTCCGAGCCAGCGTGAGGCATGTAAATAAAATTCAGAGCGTGCAGATGAAGGGGGGCGCTTTAATGAAGGGTGGCGTTCCCCTTTTGAGGTCATTTTCTCTGAAGTCTGAGCACAGCGGCCGCTTTCTATTGTCAAAACCACTGTGCGTCTCCATTAAGACTTCGGTTAATAATTTAAGGAAAATGCTAATAGACGTGCGAGACTGCTTTAATCTTCGCGAGAGGCTCTAAATTCTCGCTAATGTGATCTTTAATTCCATTAGCGGCGCGCAACGCTCGGGTTCCTGAGGCCTACCTGGATGCCCAGGCTGGATTTCATGAGATGGAACTGGTCCACCAGCTTCTTGTGGAGAGGCCTCATGTCTTGGGGCACAAACTTCTCGTGCACGGCGAGGCCGTACTCCAGTATGTGTGCCTGTAATGTACATTTAGACATATTTGCTTCATATTTTTTGGCTTTTTTTGGCTAAAATGAGTGCGATTCGACTCGTTTTCTGACTGTTTTTCCCTCTCTTTTCTAACCTGCTCGAACATGAGCTCTCGCAGACGTCCGATCTTGTCGCCGTCCTCGGGGTGGTTCATGATGTAGTCCTTGACAAAAAAGGCCTGCGGGGGGGACAAAATGCAGATCAGACGTTAGCAGGGAGGCTCTTCCACGCCGGCCAAACCCGGCCAGCAGAGGAAGTAAGACTCCTGTCTGGGTTTTTCTGTTGTTCGGGGGAGCTGAGCGAAAGCTCGTATCGACTAAAAAAAAAATGGAAACGAGAAACGGGGGAGCCGAATGGATTCCGGTGGAATCAAACAGGCTGATTTCGCTTTGATTCGGCGACAGACTTCAAAAAGCTCTCCGCTGGCTTTCACTCAGGTCTTCTGCCTCTTGTCAAAGACCGCGTCTCTCCGGGGAAAATCATACTTATCGATTACGGCTCGCTTTCTCTCACTCTCAGACATTTTCCACCAGAAAAGCAACTCTACGGAGAAGCCCGAGATGCTCTGAGCATCCATACGTTAGATTCCCGGTGTTTCCTGTTTACAGCGGCATCAGCAGATTAGGAGAAATCCTTTTTCGGTCTGCATTAGGGAACACAAAAGACAGGAGAGAGGACGAACGGATGAAAAGCCCAGCTCACAATCTGCTCTCAGATCTACATCAGAAGCAAAAAAAACAAAACAGGGAGAGGGACTGAGAGGTAGGAAGGGGGGGGGGGTTGTTTACCAAAAGCGCAGTACAGTTCCTCTCTCAAGGACACAGCTGTCTATCTCCAAAGATTCAGACAGAAAGAAGAGATGCTCAAGGCTGCTCAGAACAAGTCACAGGAATCCCTATCCAATCCGGCCCTGCTTTACAGACTATGAATACTCAAGGTGCTCTATTATTCCAAACATCCACAGATGGCAATCTTTATCCAGGAGGCGTATTAGTATGCATCGCACATGATAGCCAGTTCCTCTCTTATTAAACTGTGCAACACAGATCGCTCATAAATTTAAAAATATCCTACCGCATAAACATTATTACGCTCTTTATGGACAAATATAAGAGTGCTGCGGCTGTAATTCTTCACCTCAGCTGGAAACTCAATGTTCGGGAGCCCCCGGAAAAAGGAAGCAGAACAAAAAAAAAAAAAAGATCAATAATCTTCCACACATGATGGAAATTTCTCGTCAGACTCCGCCGTGGAGTGGCTCGGTTAATCATTAGCAAAGTCCAATTAGAGAGGGGGCGCCGATGGGAGGGGGGGGAAATAAATCAGACAGCGT